GCTGCCCCCAAATTCGTTGCACGCCGCCAAGCTCCGCCTGATGCCCTCAGCCCCCACTGGGAGCACGAACCCAGAGCCCCCGGCTGCCTCTGAACCCTTAGCGAGCTCCTGGCAGCGCTCCACGAAGCTCCCCCTGCGGATGGATCCCCACTCTCTGTCCCGGTCTGTGTGTCTGGAAGGACGAGGGCTGGCAGCCTGGTGGCAGCTAGGGGTGGAGCTGTGGCCATAGGCGGGGAAGGCAGCAGTGTGCAGCCCAGCACTGGGTGCGCCTGAGAAGCCAGGTTTGTTGAGGAGCGCAGGGGGTGGGGCTTGTCCAGGGACATAGCTGTACAGTGAAGCCAATGAACCTGAAGCTCCGGCTGCTCGACCTCCTCCTGTAGAGTGGAGCCGCTCCGTCCTGATGCTGTCACCGAGCTGAGAGTGGAGGCTGCAGGACATAACGACAGTGGATGGAAACAGGCACCTGCACTGTTGTTGTCGAGTTAAACTTTGTGCTACCTCTGGGGACACACACACACAAACACGCACACCTGCTGCTTCCAGGTGCACAACCACTAACAGTAATAAATAAAATTATAAATAATTTAAAGGCAAAAATCATACGCTGGTTCTCCCAGCTGGACTGATGGAGAAGTGTATGTACCTGCAGGTCGAGGCTCGGGGGGTGCTGTCAGGTGTTCTGGTCAGAGCCAGGTCACACTGGTCCAACAGCTCCAGCAGCTCCTCCTCCGTTGGTCCGCCCAGCGCTGCCACACAAGCGATGAAAGCACATGACTCACTGGCTAATCACACAGCTCCAGTGTCACATACGTTGAAATGTAACAGCTCTAAAGCTACAGTGATTAAGCCACTGAGCAATAAAGTTGCATCATCTGAAGAGTCTGACCTCTGATGTCGACCTTGCCGGCGATCTCCATGGCGGTGGTCAGGTCCCACATCTGGATGCTGCCGTTGCTGTGGCCACTGAACAGGGAGCGCCGGGGCCGGGGGGCGATAGCACTCATGAACCGTGAAGGCCGTGATGGAGGTACCATCCACCGAGCGCACCTCACACACCCTGAGAGACACAGAGCAGCGTTAAAACCTGCATCCACATCTTAATGCTCAGCTTGGATGTGAACAGAGGCTGAGAGTTGTGTTTCACTCTCCTACACTTGGTTAAATGCTGATTTGAGTAGCTGCAGTTCCAACTCTATGAATCGCAGGTAAAGCATTTATTATAATAATAAAAGTATTCCATGAATTTGGACTTTAGTAAGGAGAAACAGGGGCCGACTGTGTTTGGACTGTTCTGCAGAACACAGTCTGAACATTAAAGTGTCAAGTCCCAGCTTCAGGCAGGTTTAGATCAGTACTGACGGAGCTGTGTGGGAGACATAGCCTGTCCAAATGTTTACAGTGTAGACCCACGCACCTTAAGGGGGCGACGTCCCAGTGGGCCCGTTTTACTTGGACATGAGTGAGATGTATTAGCTAGCTCCACACAGACACCCACCTCTTTCCATTGGACGACAGTCTCACATAGAGTTTATCGGTGTCCGGTACAACTCTCTGAATAAACACCTGCTGATCGTCTCTCTCTCCATATGGACCTGAAACCACACAGAACACAGTCTGACCCCCGACCTCTGAGTGTCGTCTCCTCCACCAAAACGATTCCAAGTCTAACCAACGTGGATTTTAATGGACTGTGACTGTAACCAGGTGACAGCTGGCTGACAAGGGAAAGGACAAACTAGCATAAAGTGACCAACACAGACTTTTAGTGAAGTGATTCCAGAGCAGCTCCTCTGCTGAAGAGAGGAAGCATCGTTCAAGATGAATCAGTGACCCTGCATGGTTTTCTTTCCACTCATCTGGAGTAAAGCTCCAGATTTCTTAAATCAAGATGTACTGTTTATATGATGCTGCTCAAAGATACTTTCATGAATGACTGTGTAGAGGTTTGGCCAAATACTGTACATACAAAACAAGAGACTCCAAAAGAAAGTCACACGAACTGTAAATAAGACAAGTTACTATGAACCAACCGATCCGTTATTTATTCAACTAAACATTTTAAAACTTAGAGACACAGTAGATTTTAAAATAATTCAAATGATGTATAAGGTCAAAAATGACCACCAAGCATCCGGAAGTTGTTTTAAAATGAGAGAAAACCGCTACGACTTGAGTGGAACGTGCACTTCACAAGGTGGATTTATGGAACAGCTGTACTGAGAGTTTAAAAACATGCACTACACTTATCAAGCTTAAAATGTATTTAAAATAATTTAATGAACAAATATAAAATAAACGATGCTTGGAATTTGACTAGTGTACAGAGACAGACTTGGTTTTGGTGTGTGAGGGGCAGGCGTCGACGAGCTGCAGCCTCCACCCTTTCACCGTGCTTCTTGTCATGTTTGTGCAGTTATACAGACCAAAATAGTTTTCATTCAGCTTTTAGAATCTGGTGTGTTGCAAAAAGAAAACCGACGTTTGCTTCATATATTCTTAAAACTATGCCTTTTGCTTCTGACACTGCCTCCAATCAATGGAGAAAACTCTTAGCTTGAACCTTTTAGAGACGACTGAAGGACGAGCCCTCACACCAATCTCTGACCGTTCAGCCCCGTGGTTGTTACCTATCTCTGTCCCGGCGCTGCAGCCTCCGTGTCCGTCCACATCATCCAGGCTGAGGATCTTGAAGGAGGTGAGCGGCGTGGATCCCGGCTGGGTGGAGATCATCCCTCTGAAGCGAGTCACCGTCCAAGTCCGCACGTGGTTGTTGTCTGCACAAACTGAAGAACAACAAACGGGAAGATGGGTGACAGGGCGGAAAAGGAACACAGTGACCAGCAACCAACTGACACTGAGAGAAAACGCGTCGGACACTGATTCAGCTGTTGAATTCTACAGCGGCTTTAAACACGGGTGCTTCTCAGACTCGCACCTGAGATGAGGTGTTTCTCAGACAGCATGATCTTGGTGACGGGGCTGCGGTGGACAGAGAAGGTCTGGAAGAGCTGTGGCCCTGACCCCACGGTCTCTGGATGCTGAACAATGACTCGAACCGTCCCAGAGCTGGTCCCGTATGCAATCTCGATCCAGTTCCCACTGTCACCTGACCAGATGCAATCAGAGTTTGGCCTTCTCACAGTGAAACCACCAAATACATTTTCTCATCACTTTCATCATTTCATGTCAGCAGATGTTGGAGGAACTGTAAGACAACCACAAACTAACCTCCTCCAGCACAAACAGCTGCAACACAAAAGTTCAATTTAGTCAAACTTTCAGATTTTATCAGGAACTACCTGCAAACGTTTGGTTTGACACATCTGGACATGTTTCGATCACTACCAAAAGTACAAGCGTTGGTACCCAGCCCTTAAAAGTACTAGTAGTAGCAGATGTAGTACAAGACAAACAGCAGACAATGTTACAGCTCCATACTGGTTTTGGGAGTGAGGTAGACACTGAGGGCAGTGATGGCGTCTTCAGTTGGGTCTCTGTACAGCTCTGTCACCAGCAGGTCGTTGTCCTTCATCCTCAGAGGAAACTTCTGCACATCTGGCAGACAGAACAAAGGGACATCGTGTTTAAACTCGGCTGCTTAATGTACACGTATCAATAAACTGTCGCTCAGTTTAATGATTATAACGCACAGGTTTGCACTTTCAATCAGCAGGTAAACAAAATGAGGAGTGTACGATCACTGTGCGGCTCTACAGCACTGAGCTAAATCCAGTCCAGAGCTGTCGAGACGTCTCACAGGAAACATGGAGCTTAGAAGAGTCTGGGCCTTACCGAAGCCAACAGCCAACCTGAAGGGGCACTGGTCAACTAAGTGATAAGTTCACTTAGGTCCACGTCTGCACTCACAAGGCTGATCAACAGGCAGCGCTGTCTGTGGCTTGCTCCAGGGTTTACTATTCAGATATTATTAGTGTTAAATGTTGATTTAAGTTCAGCAAATTTATGTCTCATTTGTTATTATTAGATTTCTGTATTTTACCTGATGCACAAAGAAAAAAAAACGGTGCTAATGATGTTTACACGTCAGCCCTCAGCCTCCCGATCGTTATCAGCCAATGAAAAACCCACACTGGTCGAGCACCGAACATCTGAACACGTCACATTTTTATAAACTAAACCATTCATTCATTCATTTTCTACCGCTTAGTCCCTGAACGGGGTCACGGGGGGGGAGCTGGAGCCAATCCCAGCCGGCAATCGGGCGAAGGCGGGGTACACCCTGGACAGGTCGCCAATCCATCGCAGGGCTAACACATAGACGAACAACCACACACACACACACACACACTCCTATGGGCAATTTAGAGACACCAATCAACCTAAGCTACATGTCTTTGGACTGTGGGAGGAAGCCGGAGTACCCGGAGAGAACATGCAAACTCCACACAGAAAGGTCCCAGGTGGGGCCCGAACCCGGAACCTTCTCGCTGTGAGGCAACGGCGCTAACCACTAAACTAAACCATTAAAGGATTATTCAAGAAAAGATGGTAAAGTTTGTAAATGTAGATATTCCATTATTTGTAGCCTTTACATGGTTGATTCCTTTGTTTTTGTCACATTTGCAGTGGCCTCTTGTGCAACATGCACAACCAAATAATGAGTGTGATCAGAAAATCAGCATCAAATATGATGTAAACCACAAAGCCACAAGTCCATCTGTGATCAAGCTTCAAGAGTATAACTGACCACAGCATCTCACACTGCACCACCACTCAGTCTGTCATGTCTAATGGCTCTGACTTGCTGTACTGTCCTCATGTTGTTCCTCAAGTCCACTAGGAGGAGGCGGACTCGATCAAAACACTTCAGGATCCGGTAACTTGAAATACCTTGGTCTGGATCTGGGTGGTCTTAATCTGAATTGCTCTGAAATACTGGGACAACATGTCCCATACTGATTGGATCTGATTAAGATTCGAAGTTTTGAGGACCATGGATGAACCTGACACCAGTCCATCCAGCAGCTGCTGAGACATTTCAAATAACCAGACAGAGTCAAACAGCTGTAAGGACAAACATGGACACCCTAGAAACCCTGCGGGACACACACCGCCTTCATTCTGAACTACACCTGTAGCATGTCAATGAGCTGCAGTGTTTCTCACCTATGTAGTAGATGGATCCATTGTTGCAGCCCAGGATGAGGAAGGAGCCGGCGGTGTCATGGCTGCTGATGGGGACCACTTCCTGGTTCTGCATAGAGACGACAGAACACCACGCATCTGCTTCACTACATGACTTCACTGTGTTCTTATTCCAATCTGCATCCTGCTGTTTGTTATTTCCACAAGACAGCTGGTGTGAATTTGACTTGATAAATGCAAAAGAGATTTCCAGCTTTGGTTGAGGTCCAGATAGGCTGCACCGCACACATTGAGATGTAAAGACCTACGGGCCTCAGTCAGCACCATCCTCACAGCCCTGCTCTCGTCCAGAGGTTTCCCCTGTAACGCACTCAGCAGTAGTTCACTGCTAGATAAAAACCTTTCTCCTCGCCGTACGTTTAGCGCAAAAGCCTCTGTGCTGAAATTAACAAAACAACCTGAATCCGCAAACGCTACATTTCCACCCACCTGCCAGTGTTTGGTGACAGCGTTCCACACTCCGACCTTCCCGGCATGGCTGGTGGCAATCAGCTGGTTACCAACGAAGAAGAGGGCCTCGACCGGCACATTCAGACTGAAGACACCTGCAGGAGAGCGACACAACTTCAGAGTCAAGTCGTTTCTGTGCTTTGTGAAGAATAGCTGTTGGCTAAGTCTGCAGCGTTTCCTCCAGGAAGCTCTCTGCTACCTACGAATTCAAAGAGCGGCCACAGAAATGGCGCCCTTCACTCACTGTCTCAGAAAACAACACCAGCTTTTCGGAACATGTACAAACTGACACTGTGAGTGTAGCTTTAATTCTGGACACACTTGTGTAACTTTCTGAATACTTAGTTACTGAATGTTTGCTAATGCAGACAAACATGCCAAGATACATATGAGGTCTTGTACCGATTTCGTTTCCATTGCCGTCCGGGCAGATGGCCCACAGGATGATCTCTGTCACCGAGGCAACAGCCACCATCTTGTCGTTGTCTCCCAGGGAGCCGCCCATCACCCTGGCGTTGAGCGCGACTCTGTCAATCACCCAGTCCAGACGAGGAGAGGTGAAGACCTGCTGCCACCCGGTCGACTCCTTCACCCTGGTGGTGAAACAAAAAAGAAAGAGAGACTGAGAAATGTAATGATTAAAGGGTCAATTCACCCAAATTATAAAAGGTTTTTTCCCTTAAAAACATAATATCTCCATCCACATCCTAGCTGCAGTTTCCCTGCCAGTGACTCAGACCTGATGTGAACAGACCAGACCAGGTGTCCTCAGACCAGATCTGGGCCACCTGCATATGTGCTCCTAGACCCAATTCCTCTCCGACCTCTGACTGTGCTTCCGCCGTCAGAGCGGTCAGATCAGAATCCATGTGGTCATTTTAACGTCTCCTCCTCTGCACATACGGCGTGTCGTCATCATTCAGCGTCGGCCCTTCACAGACTGGTAATAGTAAACATGGAGGAGCCGTGTCGTCATCATTCAGCGTCGGCCCTTCACAGACTGGTAATAGTAAACATGGAGGAGCGTGACGACAGCGACGGGGTCAGTGGAGAGACCAGGATGTTTCACATGTGGTGGACGTTTGTGGAGAAGCTTCTGATCAGGACAAACTGGGAGGAACATGTCGTAACCCAGTGGTTTGGGAGGAAACTGGGTCATGTGACCATCACACACACCACCTGGTTGTTATTCTTGTGTGCACATGGCTCACATTTTAGCTACATCTGTGTGGCAGTTTAGGAGCTTAGCGGTGTTCACACCGGAGCAGGGTACACGGCGCTGACACACACAGACAGGAAGCAGCGACACAACGAGGTCAGAGCTGAGTCTTATGGCCTGAGATGTGGACACAGCTTGAGATTCTGTAAACTTTCCCTTTACACAAGGAGGATTTAGCCCTTACACAATGTTTGTAACTGCATTGTTCAAATTTCAGTTTATTCACCTATAGAAACATGAAAATAACAGTCGTCCCATCATCATCCACCAGTGCTGATTATCAAAACACCATGTCTTCAGTAAATGATTATCCAATCACATCCTGAAGGAGACACATGCACTCGTTAGTTGAATTGCTTCAGAAAAGCTCCTGCTGTGTTTGGCACAAAAAGCTTTTCACTATAAAAACTGGAAGAGGTCATCACATGCAGGAGACAAGTGTGACAAGCTAACCAATCAGATGAGCTCTAAGAGAAACCAATCCATCTGCAGATTCACCTGTAGCAGACGACAAACTGTGTGTAGGCCACAGCAATCCAGTTGTGATGACCACAGATGATCCGAACCATGCCGGGATCTGATGGCTGACCTACATGCACAAGCAGGAAAACACTCACAATCCTTCCTTTAAAAACACAACTGCTAATGTTTCCCTATTCAGAGACTTCATATAAAATCCTAGAGCCCCCCGTCTGTGTGTGTGTGTGTGTTCACCTCCAGTCGTCCTCTCCTCGCTGCTGGATCTGCCCAGGATCCCAGAGTTCCCCAGGTTGGGGGGCATGGTGTTGCTGCGTCTGACCGGCGCTCTCTCTACAGGAACCGCTCGGCCCACCATGAACTGCGATCCTGCCACGCTGTGACGGTTGTGACGTTTTGCTGGGTGCACTGGGGGTGACAGAGACAGGAAGTGAGGACATAGGTAACCAGTGACTGTGCACAGTGACACTGCTTTCGGCCGCTGGAGCTGTGTGCACTTCACTTCAAAGCTGCGTGCAGAGGAGCAGACAGAGGCTAATTTAAAACCTCTCCCTGCTCAGTCCCACTGATGGACACAGACCTGCTGGGTACAGCTGATCAATACCCAGTTTTAAACGAACTTCAATAATGTGATACAGTGTTTTAAACACGCCCTGCCTGACTGATCCTTCCTTATCAAAGACCAGGTGTACGGGGACAACTGGGCAGTGTACCTGGTGGAGGCAGGTAGCCGTTGAACAGCACGTTTCCACAGGAAGATCGATCCAGCTCGTCACACAGCTGCAACTTGCGTACTATTACAAAAAACAAAGTTCTTTCATCAGATAATGCAACAGGAAACAGAAGTGGGTACCAGATAAGAATCAGGTCAGTGGCGTCACAGTGTACAGACACACACTGAAGTGCACGTCACAGTGTGTCTCACCACAGCACTTCCTTGAGCTTAAACAAATGTGGTGAATGCATTATCTTCCTGAAAACATTTGCAAAGCAGATTTTTGAAATGACTTATGCACTACTGACATTCATGTATGATGGCTAGCAGCCTTCTCCCAGTCTTGCTGCCATGAAATGTTAACCAGCAGAGTACTGGGAACCAGCAGCAGCCACCACGTGCTTATAGGCAGTACCAACAAAACAGGGGCCCACTTGTAAAGACCTGGTTTCTGGTCCAAACATCCCCAGCTACACTTAAAACACTGGAGGTCACCATCAACAATATTACCAGAGGGTGCTAAGTTGCTCTTTAAAATGGGCTCGTTCACAGCGTTTCCTGGTGTAGTAACCTGATTTTTGTGAGCAAGAGGTTTATTGCAGATGAATGAATTTAATTGTCTTCATGTGCGACATCAAGACACCTGCTGACAATGTTTTTCACAGAGCCAGGCCTGGAGCAGGTGGAGCTGTTCTCACTCAGCAGGTTTTCTCAGACTCATCATATCCTCTGACACTCTGTGACTCTGTGCGTCTCACCCAGCGGCGTGATTCCGTAGAACTCGGCCTCATGCATGAGCATGTGCACGTTGACAGAGCGAGGGTGTAGCTCTTTGGTACGTAGGAAGTTGAGGATGGAGGCAAAGAGAGAGGGGTCCCTGTCGATGAAGATCTGCAGAGAGAGACGGGGACCAAAGGAAGGTTCACACACACAAACCGGTGCAACACTGGTGGTAACAATACTAAGGGCTGATCATCATGTCACTAAATCCACAGAGGTGTACTGTACTCACAGCTCCAGTCTCATCCTTCAGAGTCGAGATGCGACCACTCAAAAGACTGACGACAAAACAAACCACACACACGTTAAAGTTAGACAAGCACCGGCCACAGCAACAGCACCGATACATTACTGGGTAATACACGAGAGGTACACACTGGTTTCTAGGGCACAGTCTCATTACACCCCACAAGCCTTTCCATAATCAAATCCCTGAACCTTTTAACTGGGCACAGACCAAATAACCCAAACAGCTTTTGGTTCAAAACACTTTTCTACTCCTCCGTAGGGCCAGGTCTCATTCCAAAATGTTTGGTACTGGTACCGATACCCTGACTTCGATACTGGCTCCTAAACCATACTCTCTTCATATAAATTTGATAGAATCTACTTATATATATATATATTACAGATGTTGGTACCGATCATTAGTTCTAGTTTTCAATTCCGTGCCACTTTGTGCACTCAAAGCAGTTTCATAACATACAAAGTAAACCTATTTACCACAGCATTGTTCAGTTAACATCAATAACTAAAAATGCAGTCAGGCATTTTCAGTACTCGGTTTTTCGATACTGGATGGTACTGAAGAAATTCGGCTGATGCCATAAAAGTACTGTTCGATACCCAGCACTACTCCTCTGGAAACACAACACTCACGTTGATTAAATTTCATCATGCAAAATAAAAGATTTGAGCCGAAGCACTGTTTTTATGCTGAATTTACCAGCAGAGAATTTTTTTGTCACAAAATATCTTGATTTGTGGTTTAATTAGCTGCGGAGTTTCCCAATAATCAATGCAGCACAAGATTACAGGCGTGGACCTTGGTACTGTGTGTGTCACACTGACCTGGAGAAGAAGGAGTCGGGGACCCATGTGAGCGTCTGTCGGGAGGTGCTGAACCTGTGAACAACATTGTCACCTGTTTGTTAATGGCAACTTCTACAAAGTGACTGAAACAATATACCTGCCAAATACCTTGGTGTAGCTACAGGTGGGCAAAGCATTTATTTTACTGTTTGAATTTTAAAAAACTCAGCTGGTAGGGCCACAACACTTTTTACAGTCTCCTCAATTACATGAAGACTATTTACACTGGACCGACATGATTTTAAAACAAACATATCTCTCAGCTTCTTTTTAACACCATTAAACATGTCCACATATAATGATAAATGCAGAATGTGCATTTGAAGACAGGACCTGACTCCATACCTGGGGACAACTGCAACGTCTCAACTAATGGCTGCAACTTCAATTTAAAATGCAGTCAAATGGTACGATACACTTTTTTTAACCTGCAATATTTGTCTGGTTATTTGAACTGTTTAACAAACTGTGTGTTCTATCTGTGAAAATCACTGTGAACCTGTTTTGTGTGTGTACAGGAGGCCTGTTCCTTTTCAGTGGCTGACAGGACAAGAACTGTGTCATGCTGAAGCCAGAGGTGACGATGACATATAAACAGGCTGCTCACACAGCCAGGATCAAACTGGGGCTTTAGAAAACAGCTGCTTCTAGCACATTTCTGACTGATGGAAGTACATACTGTTTCAACTGTCCCCACTTTAACATTATATAAAATAAGCCTCCCTTTTTAAAAAGGAAAACTAATTGTCTCATGTACAAAGGTTTGCATATTCCAGGATGGAATTTGGTACGATGTTCACTGATTAAAAACTATAAATGGCTTGTTTTATTAAAGCACCCTCACTGTACTTTTAGAGCCTACAGCTTTTAAAATGTACTGCATATTCATAGTTATATCATACATAAGCCTGCAAATGTACAAAGCTGTTGTTTTAGGTTAAATGATCCTTAAACCTTTACAATCTCAGAGTTCCATTGTCGGACAAGCCCGGATTCACATTCGTCTAAACTGTCCCGATTTGTAATTGTTAACGTTACAGCTTCTTGATTCCATCATCGAACCGGAAGCAAACATTTAACCTCGGTTTCATCCCAACTTCATTTTTGTCTCACTTACTCCAAGTTAATTTTCTTCCTAGCATGAATGTTTCCTGCCAAAAGCATTTTACTTATGGGACTAACGTGTAACAGATACAGCGTCGAGCTGAGGAACAGCTGGACACGAGTTAAAACAGTTAACCTGAAGTGGAGTTTGAGTAGCCAGCTGGTAATTACGGAGAGAACCAAGTATTAAAGCCTTGAACATTAAACACACAAGTGACTTTCGTGAACCGGTCCGATAACGGAAGCATCTGTATTAGCTGTTTTCCCAGTACATAGCCGGGGTTAGCTAACACTCCCCAAACATTTTCCGGTTCCTCACCTCTTCCCTCCGACATTCAGATGGATGATCTCTCCGCTCCTCGCTGTGTTGGACATCATCTACAGAGTCTGAAACATCGAAACTACAATACTCTATAATTTTAATCCATTTTTACAATAAATCCTGTTTACGATCTTGCTTCTAAAACAACTTCCTGTCGTGCAGTGAGTCTGAGGGAAAACTCGTGATGGATTCGTAGATCGGATGAGAAAACCAGGCAAAAACCACGGACCGGAGTCTCTTACGGGAACAGGACTACAAGATCCTCTCTCAACTTTATTTTGTGAAGAAAAACGTTAAACTTCGTGAAAATATTCAATATAACGAGGCACATTTTAAGTACAAGTACTGACACACTGAGTGCAACATCAATGCCTTCATAATGCAAATATAAACTATATATTTGTATTCAGCACAACCTCTACTGACAATAATTCAGGGTTTATTCTAAATTGTATGAAGGCCCTTTTCCATCAGAAAAAATAGGGCAAAGTTAATTTTAAAAGCAAAAGTAAAAATGAATATGATCTGTACTTTTGCAAAAGCAAATAAACTTGCAAATGAAATAACTTTTAATATGTTTTATTTAGTTTTACCAACCCATCATTTTTTAAACAAACAGCTCCAAGGTCTAAGAATGGCCGCCACTTTCTACAGCCTCTCAAGTAAGAAAAATTCAACTGATCTCTGCTCTGTTTACACTACTCTGCTAGCTTCTTGTACTCCTGAGGAGGAAACCTGCCCCCCAGTGCAGCGGTGTGGCTCACTGGGGGGGTTTAACAGCTGGTGGACAACAGTGGAGGTCTACGGCACAGAGTGATGAGCTGGACTCAGGTCTGGACTCATGCATTATGGTGAAGACACCACATTCACCGGTGCTGCTGGTCTCTGGACAGGGTTTGTGGGGAATCACACAGAGCAAATCTCCAGCTGCGTCCTTTAAGGTAAATACATATACAGTGGATCTAAAAAGTCTACACACCCCTGTTAAAATGCCAGGTTTCTGTGATGTAAAAAAACGAGACCAAGATAAATAATTCCAGAACTTTAGCCACCTTTAATGTGACCTATAACTTGTACAACTCAATTGAAAACAAACTGAAATCTTTTTTTCAGTGGGAAGTAAACTAAAATAATGTGGTTGCATTAGTGTGCACACCCTTAAACTAATATTTTGTTGAAGCACCTTTTGATTTTATTACAGCACTCAGTCTTTTTGGGTATGAGTTTATCAGCAATGCACATCTTGACTCTGCAATATTTGCCCACTCTTCTTTGCAAAAACACTCCAAATCTGTCAGATTGCGAGGGCATCTCCTATGCACAGCCCTCTTCAGATCACCCCACAGATGTTCAATCGGATTCAAGTCCGGGCTCTGGCTGGGCCATTCTAAGACTTTTATCTTGTTCTGGTTAAGCCATTCCTTTGTTGATTTGGATGTATGCTTGGGGTCATTGTCGTGGTGAAAGATGAAGTTCCTCTTCATTTTCAGCTTTCTAGCAGAAGCCTGAAGGTTTTGTGCCAATATTGACTGGTATTTGGAACTGTTCATAATTCCCTCCACCTTGACTAAGGCCCCAGTTCCAGCTGAAGAAAAACAACCCCAAAGCATGATGCTGCCACCACCATGCTTCACTGTGGGTATGGTGTTCTTTTGGTGATGTGCAGTGTTGTTTTTGCACCAAACATACCTTTTGGAATTATGGCCAAAAAGTTCAACCTTGGTTTCATCAGACCATAGCACCTTTTCCCACATGCCTTTGGGAGACTTCAAATGTGTGTTTGCAAAATGTAACCGGGCATGGATATTTTTCTTTGTAAGAAAAGGCTTCCGTCTTGCCACTCTACCCCATAGCCCAGACAAATGAAGAATACGGGAGATTGTTGTCACATGTACTACACAACCAGTACTTGCCAGGAATTCCTGCAGCTACTTTAATGTTGCTGTAGGCCTCTTGGCAGCCTCCCTGACCAGTTTTCTCCTTGTCTTTTCATCAATTTTGGAGGGACGTCCAGCTCTTGGTAATGTCACTGTTGCACCATATTTTCTCCACTTGATGATGAATGACTTCACTGTGTTCCATGGTATATCTAATGCCTTGGAAATTCTTTTGTACCCTTCTCCTGACTGATACCTTTTAACAGTGAGATCCCTCTGATGCTTTGGAAGTTCTCTGAGGACCATGGCTTTTGCTATAGGATGCAACTAGGAAAATGTCAGGAATATCCTACTGGAACAGCTGAACTTTATATGGGGTTAATCAGAGGCACTTTAATTGATGGCAGGTGTACTGACTCCTATTTAACATGAGTTTGAATGTGACTGCTTAATTCTGACAACAGTCACAGCCCCACAGTAAGAGGGTGTGCACACTAATGCAACCACATTATTTTAGTTTTTTATTTTTACTTCCCACTGAAAAACAGATTTCAGTTTGTTTTCAATTGAGTTGTACAAGTTATAGGTCACATTAAAGGTGGCTAAAGTTATGGAATTCTTTATCTTGGTCTCATTTTTTTACATCACAGAAACCTGGCATTTTAACGGGGGTGTGTAGACTTTTTATATCCACTGTATTGTTGTGTAGTGATTACAATTCTCCTCATGCTGGGGAAAGATGAATGTCAACATTTCATTGCAAACCATCCCATTGATGCGTGGATATCCCAGTCTGGACTGAAGCAGTGGGCCGACAGACTGACACCGCTATCTCTACAGCCGTGTTCCAGAAAGAAAAGACAAATTTCAGATGGTGACAGCTTTTAAGAAACATGCCCCAGGTCATGTTGTCACTTTGCTGCTTTCTGCGTTGAGCGTTGGTCACCACAGCGGTGTTTCTTGAGATTCCTGGAGTCGCAGAAGCCCCGGCTGCAGTGGGGGCAGGTGTACAGCTTCACCCCAGTGTGCTTCTGCATGTGTAACTTCAGTGACTGAGCCTGACTGAACTTACCTCCGCACACCTGGCACTGGTACGGACGCACTCCTCTGTGGATTTTAGTGTGTCGGTACAAGTTGTTGCGTATCCTGAAGGCTTTGCCACACTGCTCACACGAGAACATTTTCTCTCCGGTGTGGATCGTCATGTGCTCCTTCAGACGGCTCGGCTGCAAGAACCTCTTCCCGCACACGCTGCAGCTGCTGAAACTCTCCTCATTGTGGCTCCGCATGTGGTAGACAAATGTATACTTATGGTGAAAAATCTTCCCACAGGTGGAGCAGATGAATTTGTTTTCCTCCGAGTGGGTTTCCTCATGACGTCTCAGAGTGTTAGGGCTGGAGAAACATCTTTGACAGACCTTACAGCTGAAGGGTTTGAACCCTGCAGGTTGCTCTCTCTGCTGACTCGGAGCCGCCTCCTGGTCCCCGTGCACATCCCGTTGATGCTCCAGTAGTTTAGAGTTGAAGAAAAACGTCTTACCACACAGGTGACACTTAAAAGGCTTCGTGGTGCCATGAACAAACATGTGGGTCTTAAATGCCCGTGTTCCCGAGAACTCCTCCCCGCACTTCTCGCACCTGAAGCATTTCTCACCTGTGTGGAAGCGAAGGTGTTTCTGCAGGTTGAACTTGAGACCAAATCCAGCCCCACACATCTCGCAGATGAAGGGTTTCTCCTTGGTGTGGACGATCTGGTGCTGCACCAGCATTCGTTTCAGCTTGAACGCCTTGCCGCAGTCAAAGCATCTGAAGGGACGCTCGTCCGAATGCACTCTCTTGTGACCAAACAGATGACCGGATGTCCTGAACCTCATCCCACAGGTGGCACAGGTGAAACGCCTTTCTCCCGTGTGAATGGACTGGTGCTGCCGCAGGCCACTCTTGGCTTTGAATCCTTTTCCGCAGGTGTCGCAGATGAACGGCCGGACCGTGGAGTGGGCCGTCTCATGTCGTCTCAGCAGATGCATTTTATTATACGTCTTCTCACAAACGGAGCATGCGAAGGATTTCTTCTCGGCTTCGTGGTGTAACAGGTGTGCTGCGAGTCTGTCCTGGAAGCTGAACCGTTTGTCACACTGGCTGCACGCCCACACGTTCTGACTCGCCATTTTCGCTCTGTGGGCCTGCAGGTGAGTCTGGAGAGTCTTCTCCGTGTGGAAGCATTTGTCACACTGGTCACAGGAGAAAGGTTTGTCGTGACAGCTCATGTGCAGCCTCAGCTGATATGGGTAGCGGAAGCCTTTGTTGCATTTCTCACAGACTCGCTTCTCTTGATGCTTCTCGTCCCTCCTCCTGTAACCATGGCTGGTACCCTTCCCAAGGTCTGAGGCTGAGAAAAACATATATTAGCTTTGTATGCAGCACTGTCAGACACAACCATTCAGGAATCACCACAGTTTTAAGCAAGCAAGCATAAACTTTACTGACTTTGACTCTAGCCCAATGTTTATCCAACAATCCCCACCAGACTGAACCCTGCATTCACCTGCTGATTGTCCTGCAGTGTCTTCATGTTGGTCTTCACTGAGCTTGATCACAGTTTCCTGTAAAGAACAAGATTCACAGAGAGAAGTGTTGGACTTGTATTGTGTCAACAAAGCTTCCAATAGGACAAACACATTTAAAGTTATACATTTGAAAGTTTACATGAAGTCAAACACTTTTTAAATCCCAGTAAATTCTGTGATTTTTGAAGCTACTCTTCCCGATGTCTTTTCAGTCTAGAGGGTCAAATGAGACTCACAACAAACTGACACACAAACCGCTCCTTATCGCTCCTTGCCCCTCCCATTGTGTCCTGTTTCCTGGAGCTATGATGTGAACTATGGAGGCCTGATTGGGGCAAACTGTACAAAACACAGCCTCCAGTCCAAAGCTAGTGCTGTAATGAGTCCTGGCTCTATGGCAGCACCACACTGTGAAGTGAGGAGGTCGACAATTTAGTGATTTATGATCCATAGATTCTACGTATGGCTAACATCGTGTGTACAAGATGTGTTTTTTGACTCATGTCTAGCCCTTTTCCACCGCCTCATACTGTCTCGACAACTCTACTCGCCCTATTAGCTGCGAGACATCATGTCCTGGCCCACTTTCAGTGGGGTTATCAAACTGTGGTGGAAATCTGGGTTACTGCACCCCAACACCACACAAGGCCTACCTGAGGTTCAGACTTGACCGCTGATGAATCCACAGGTTCGGGCTCCTGCCCTGCTGAGGGTG